ATATATATATACAGTTGTAGTCTTAGTACAGGGTGTGAGTACGCGTATGTATAACAGAGAAAATCTGACAAGTGACCCGCTTGCAGAAACATCATAAACCTAGTTGTTACATCACAATATCGCAACTTTTGAAAGGAAATGCATCTATTTTGGACTCAGGAGTGCCATAACTATTTGTAACCGATGTTTCTGACAACGAGCACCTGCATGTGTCGTGACGTCACTTATGCTACGCAGGGATGTCAAAATCGTCACTATATCCCCAAATTTTGTTTGGTAGTATCAAGAGTACATAATGGGAGATATTCTCCCATTATGTACTCTTGGTAGTATGTATATATGTATAGTATCTAAGCCTGTATGGTTGAATGCTGTATTGCATAGCCGTCCGACGGGGTGCTGCGATGGATGCGGTAGCACCACCATTTTTTCCAGAGTTTACCTCGGGAATTAGTTATTTAGCCGGCAAGTCAATTCGTTGCACAAATGTTAGCGTAGGGCCAATATTTTCGCGTGTTTATGCATAAAGCTTTTGTATCGCGTATATAAAACTTCCGACTAGCCATCCAAAATCAGGCTCAGATTGCACCAAAGAGCATCTAAAACCCGTGAGCTTCCAGGGACCTTAAGCGGGCCCTTCCTGGACCCCGGCCGTGAGGGACTTCGCGCTCGTGATGTGCGCTTGGCGCACAATTATTGCACAGAAAATTATAAGTACTCCTGTCATGCCACCCCCTTACTCGAAAAGCTTGGGACGAGTCTGTATTGTATGTTGAATATGTTGTATGCTGAGCATATATGAATGACTCCATCTTTACCGGTAAACATGTCAGCTGGAACGGACGAATTAGCCTCTAGTTCCAGAGTGACGTCAGACATCTTCAACCAACCAGCTTCGTACTGCTCCTGATGCTCGCCACTCAGCGAGTAGGCGGGAAGGCAAGCCAGATCGAGAGTTGAGCGCCATCTATCGGCCTCGCAGCCGGCTACGAGTGACATGAATGAGTGTGAACATAAATGTGTGTGTATACATGCAGGTAGCAACAGTAAGCTAGACGCGTCATTATATTAGCAGTCGTGCGCGGAAGAGAGCAAGGGGAAAAGAGCGCAAGTAAGGCGGAGGCGAGAAGAGTGGTAGAGCGAGCGAGAAAGAGGAAACAAGAGAGAGAGAGAGTGAGGCAGAGAGAGAGAGAAAGAAGGAGAGAAAAGAGAGAGAGAGAGAGGAGAGGAGAGCAGAGAAGAGAGAAGAGAAGGATCAAGAGAGAAAAGGAGGAGAGAGAGAGAGAGAGAGAGAGAGAGAGAGAAGAGAGAGAGAGAGAGAGAGAGAGAGAGAGAGAGAGGAAAGAGACAGAGAGAGAAGAGAGAGAGAGAGAGAGAACGAGAGAGAGAGACAGAGAGAGAAAGAGAGAGAGAGAAAGATAGAGCAAAGAGAGACAGAGAGAGCGACGCGAGAGGGGAGAGAAGAGCAGGAGAGATGAGAGAGAGGAGAGAGCGAGCGAGAGAGAAGGGAATAACGGAAAGAGAGACCTATCTTCTAGCCGACATCCTACTTTGCGTATCAGGCCCAGAAAAAACGTTTCTCTGCGAAACGCTAAACGTAATCAAAGTAGATGACCCGATGTTGTCTCGTGGTATGTCACGCCACAGATTCATCACCGCGTAGCTGCCTCAGTCAGCCACCTTGTCCAACGATGAACAGATTCAGTGTAATGTATGAAGCACGTCTGTTGCCTCGGTTCTCCATCGACATCAAGGACAGGTATGCCCTCCA